GAGATTTAAAATTATTGATTAAAGCCCTAGGAGGCATGATTTTCCAAATAAGGATGCATTCCTTAGAACACGCTGCCTTCCCCTGCATGGCGTTATGACTGTGGAGACAATTAAGATGCAGTGACCTCAGAGACAGCGAATCTTCGTGCTGCGGTAGAACTCCAAGTGGCTGCAAGCATAAAGTTTCTCCTTAGCAAAGGACATCTTGACCCTGTGCTAAATCTGTATCCATTTCTTCCCCCAACTCTGAGCTCTGAAGGCTCAATTTAGCATCCAAAAAATTGAGCCGTGTTCTTTTCCTTTTGTACCTCATTACCGACAATGAAGAGTTGAGGGACAGGAGTGTGGGCTGGCAATTTTGCCATGATAGATGGCACAGCAGAACACCGACTTCTTTTCGTCACTCCTGGAACCTCCAAGTTATTGATAGGAATAGATATTTTCCAAACACAGGAATGATATAGTCACTGCCTATGCTCAGTAAGCCAAGAATACTGATCCCTTTGACACCTAGGGACACTGCAGTAGCCCCCAGGTGTCTAGCTGTGTTCATGACAACGGGTGGTGCTTTCTCACTGGAGAACAGAAAACCACCTCAGTGTGATTGACTGCCATCTCCCAGTGCATTAACGATGCAGCGTTAACAACAGTCTTTTCATGAATTTGGTAAGCAGCAAGGGGGAATCTTCCAAGTGTGGCAAGGGTATTTTTACATGTTATATTCCCCAAAGAAGGCTTTTGTGCTTTTTCTTAAGGCAAATCCAATCCTATTAGTAGCTTTCTATTCTTGGATCTATGGCTCCAGGAGGGGAAGGAGAACCCCAGAACCTTCATCTCCACAGACCAGGAGTCAGACACTGATGGTCCGAGCCTGGACCCCATCCGGCCCGCGACATTTACGTCTCCCTTGCACACAATGTTTAAAATGATTTCAACTGGCTGCCAAACAAAAGCCAGGAGATTTTCATGTAAAAGCAAATCTGGATTTTGGCTCTTTTTAAAAGAAGCCTAAAATTTGGCAATACTGGGTCTGGTTTCCCACATGGCAACTAGAGTTGGGTAGTACATTCCAGGCTAGCTTCCAGGAAGGACATACCTTCCCTTCCTGGGCATGACAGAAAGGCACTGTCTCTGGCCAGATGGGTTCTAAGGCTCGCCCATCCGAACAGACGCAGCCTACCTGAAGGACTCGTCTGCTGCAGTCACCAATACCTCCTCGGGCCACTTTACTCATGATGGGCCCTTTAGGCATTTAGTTTGTGACCACCGCCAATGCTTTTAGAAGAAGCAGCTGCCAGCAGTGTAGCTCTTGATGAACGAGGACTGGCCTGAAGGGTTTTCTTTGATTTCTTGCCCACAGAGATAGAGACAGGAGCATTTGTTTGACCCAGCTCCTCTTTTTGCTGAGAAGAAAGTTGCCCAGTTCTGCAGGAATTATATCCATAAGCTAGGTCTCTGTCCCCACGGCTCATCCTACCTCCCTACCCACCGTCCTCCCCCACTTCTACCCCGAGCAGACTCGTCATGTCCCGTTGTCATCAGCCTGAGCGAGGACTTATTCCACAGGATGCAACAATTCCTCTGGATGACACTGGGCTCCGACTCCTTTAACGCAGAGTTTGAGGCAGACCTCAGGAACCACCTTGGAATGAGCTGATTCCAGTATCGGTGTCTGTTGACAGCTTGCTCTTATTAAACCCTGTCCCCGAGTGAGCCCTGTAGCCCCTGATAATGGATGATACCGAGGAGCGAGGAGCCCCTCTGTGGCCTTAGCAGACCTGAAAAATAGTTTCTCTGCAACTTGTCAAGAGCTATGAGCTGGTTCTTGTTTCTTTTAAGCACTGGAATGACAATCATCGAAATTATTCACGCAGTGCAGCCACATGTGAAGACGGAGATACAATAAAGATCGTGCCATCTGAGCGCTTGTCAAGTGATTCATAGCGAGTACAGTCCTGTGATAATTAGCCGTCTGTTTTGGTGAATGGATTTCAAATTGGTGTTCAGCCACGGCTTTGCCACTTCCTAGCTAGGTGAACTTGGGCTAGTCACTTACCTCCGTGACCTTCACAGGGAAAGTACAACTGGCTCTCTGTATTCATGGTTCTAAATCTGTGGACCCGACCAACTATGGATTGAAAATGTCTGCAAAAGCAATTACATCTGTATCAAACAGATCTTGTTTCTGGTCATCATTCCCTAAATAATACAGTAAAAGCCCTAAGTACACAGCTTACCCATTGCATTAGATATCATAAGTAATCTAAAGAAGATTTAAAGGATAGAGGAGGATGTGCGTAAGTTATGTGCACTAGTACACCATTTTACAAGACTCATCAAAAACTGTGTTCAAAAAATTTTATTGTAATAAAAACACATTGCCTTTCCCCTCCCCCATTCTCCTCTCTGCTTTGGATGCACTTATCCCATTGTTCTTGCCACTTACTCTCTGATGCTCTTCTGGATGTTCCGTCTTGTATCTTTAAAAGGTTGATCAAAAATGCGGTGAATGGGTCTGCAAAGTGCCATACAACAGAACAGCAGGGTCCTAAACTATGACAGCACGTCCTCAGCCATCTTATTCATCAGATCTGGCACTGTGTGACTTCCAGCTTTTACCCAAGGTCAAAATGACCAAGAGAGGCAAAAGTTTTGCATTAGAGTCAGGACCCTGAGGCAACCCCAGCAGTACAGCAGTACAACTAGTCCTCTTTTATGCAGACTTTCAGCCTACTGCAGAAAGTGAGGAGAACAGTGGAGTAAGTGTGTTCAAAGAAAGAATACTAGTGGGGTGTTTTTTACTGATACGAGTTAATGGAACCGTTTCCCAGTGAATACCAAGAGGTAAGATTTTAAATTACAACATGGGTAGAACTAAGAATGGTTAAGGTCTCTGGTGTTCTACCTTTCCTATATCTCACTGAGTGGGGTAAATGAACTTCAAGACTCAGGTTCTTACTCTACTAGAGTGAAATACAAATGGTACTTTCCTGATAGGATTCTGTATGGTTAAATGAGATAATGCTTGACGAATGTACATAATATTGCTGGCTTGGGGGTCCCCAGCCTGCCACACAGGATCCAAACCAAAATATTGGTTCCGTTGTCTTCTACTTGTGTCTTACTACTTTGAACAGTAAGAATTTTAGCAAATAGGAGGGACTAAAGATTGCTTTGCTACATAAATATTTAACACATTGATTTTTACAGTGGAAAGTATATAAATGTATGAACATCAAGCTGTTTTTCTAATGGCCTGACTTTTTAATTGAGGCAGTTCACACAAAGAGTTAAAAATGATTTTAGAGTTTCCAGTACTGCAAGAGCAAGCAATGGTTAAAATACAGATAAAGTCTCTGTAATAGTGTGTTACTGCCTGTTCCCTTTAGGAATGAGCTCCTGGCGGCAGAAGACATTATGTAGACACCGAGATCAAGCAGAATACAAAGGTCACAATGCCAATATCATCTGCAACTTGTTTTGCTGTATCAGAGTCTTGGTATTTAGGGAAAGACGGGTGGTTGCTATGGAACTCTTAATAATGATTGCTGCCTGTACCTCCATCCTTCGTACTCCCAATCTCCAATAAAAAATCACTTAGAATTGGGCTGCAGGGCAGTAAACAAACTTTCAAGCAGGAATTAACTAGGCTCAGGCATTAGTGTCTTAATGTTGAAAATAACTTTCCTTATAACCTCTGCTTACGCTGGCAGTGTGGCTGAGGTGAAGCAACTTCTAACTGAACCACATGAGGCTCAAACTTTGCTCCTTAGATGGGCGGTGCTAAAAGCAGAACCATTTGGAGGCTTTCATCATGATATAAATTTCAAAACATTCTTTGGTTTGTGCAGAACTGAGTTTCGCATGGGTCTTTTTATTTTCACGTATAAAAAGAGATAATGGTTTGGTTGTATGGATTCCTAAGTGGAAAGAGGGAAATATTCTTGATGAAATATTTATCAGTGCATATTTAAAAAATAAGCCTTGTAGAAAAATGAACATTTTTGTCATATTTCTGTGAGATCTGGGTGCCATGCAATAGATGCCTCTTACTCCTGAATTATATTTCCAAGATACGGATCTCAGTCCCTATTAATGTATAACTGATCTTTGGGGGAAAACTAATTGAGTTCTTGAGCTCCAGGCACACAGAGTCAGGAGCGGGTTATTGGATGGGTGGGAAGAAGACATATCTAATTTGGGGAGTTTACAGCCTCACCAGTATGCAAATAACTCAACAATAACACAGAGTCAATGGCCTCCGTCTTCACAACCGCCGCTCTCTCTGGTCCCTGCAGTCTGTGTTTCCCAACAATTATCTGGCTTAATTCTCTGTTTTATTGCTCAGGATTTTAATGTTTCAAGTGTAGAACACAGTAGAAAATGTGATTGTCAGTAAAATTTAGAAAGAGGCCAGGTTGCCATTTTCCACTGACTTGCGACTAGTTTATAAGAACGAATGGAAAAAGCATTTTTGAAAAGGGAATGTAAACACTGCATTAGCTCTGGATTCCCCCAACTTTTCAGGGCCGGCATGCAGCAAGAAGGGACAGCAGCTCTGCAGCTCTGGAAAGGTTAAACAGGCAGGCACGCTTGGGACCCGGAGTGAAATGAAGTCTTCTACCCAGTCCGTGGCATGGCAGAAGACAAAGTCTGATCTGAATGAATAAACTGAGTGTACAGTTCAGTAAACTCATGTTTGCAGACCGTTTCAGGTACTATAAGGTCAGGTACCATTCAATAAAAATGCAGATGGAACTATCAAATTCATCAAGCTACAGCAATAAATTCAGATGATCTCCAGAACTGGCCGAGTGATGTCAAGAAAGTTAAACTTGAAGAATGAGAGTTGGGTTTCTAAATGAGACCAGGGGAAAAAAGCAGAGTTAATAGGAGAAATCGAGACTGAAGCAATCAACATTACTGCTACATTTGGAGGAGAGTTTAAAAGTCAATTCCTCCTGCTTGTTGTAAAATTGTTCTGCCAAAAACTGATGCTGTGGATTTTTAAATTTTTTATTTTATTTAATCTTCCTTAACACAGCCATTGTTAATGTAACAGTCCGATACTTGGGGTAACATTATTGCAAAGTAAGAACATAGCTGAATAAGTTATACCACCCGTACATTTTATTAATCCTTTTCCTTTGATTAAAAACCAAGCATAGTTTGTTAATGTTAGTTAATCTTAGTAAACTCTACTCATATCAATACTTATAGTGGTACCTATGAAAGGTAGAGCATTTGCTCTCTGGAGCTACTATCTTTAAACTATAAATTAACCAAATGTTAGCATCTTGTAATTAAAAATAGATAAAGCAATATGCAGTACAATGTTAGGCAGCAGTACAAACTACCCTGTCTGAATGAATGTGCACATGTACATAAAACACTAGTATGCTTTAAGAAGTTAAGAAACATGTTAATATTCAGTGAAATTAATGTATAAATAAAATACAGCCTGGAATAAAATTACCGTTACGTACAGAGAAGAAAAAAAGTAGCTTTGTTCTCTTCCCAAACTTGTGTGTTGCAACATCTTATAAACCTACCTTATTTGGAGTATAAAGGTTTTTCCAAATTTGGGAGAAATTAAAGACTAGTACAATCCAATATCTTACAAAAGACATACATATTAATTATTTTTTGAAGATTTATATTCATTCCAAGTTCAACATTCTTCTGAACTTCTTTAGAGAAATATTTGTGATGCCTTTTATTTATGAAGGGGAAAACCCCCACAGTTTTAGCACTAGAAAATGTTATATTTTTTAAAAATACTAGAAAATAAAAGTATGGTGGAGACAGAACATGTTATTCTAGGATATATGAACTTCTTTACCATGTTAAAGAGTAAAAAATTAATCTTAATATTGCAAATATTTCACTTTTAAGCTCATACTTATTTCCTTTTCCCTTCCGTGTCTTTGGCATTCTTGCTTCCCATTTCTCTTATTTTCCAACTTTTTCTCCTTTTTTTTCTTTCTGAAACCTGACCTGAGTACCCACCCTAGATCACTGGTTGGCCATCACAGTCTTTTAACTTCATTTACAATAAAGCAATGGGCTTCTATTAACTGAATAACCCACTGAACCCCTTCTACTTTTTGTAAGTGTTTTCTTCTTAAAACTATAGTTATGTTTTTAGCTTGCACGCTTAGGCATATTATGTATCACACACATAAAAGGCAATCATTAGATTCACAGAGGGCCATAGAAATTCACTGTATCACTGGTACACAGTTCAGCAAGCTGACGGAAGGAGCAGGAAGAAAAATCACATTTCATGACCAGCATCTTGGTAGCTTAAGTGTTCTCTGACTCAGCCAAATGGATCCGGTTTTAATTGCTCCATTCCCTCTTCCCGGCAATCTTGGAGGAATTCTACAGAAAGGACCCTGAGTGCACATTAAAAGTGGAGCTCCAGGCAGCTTGTCTTCTTGGTCTCGTGCATGTGTGTGTGTTGCTAGTGTGTGGCCACAGCTTGTGCCCGGTGGTGACAGCGTGCGGCAGTGCTGGGGACAGGAGGAGTCTGCCGGGGCTGTGGCTGTGCTCAGGCGCTCTGGTCCACCTGCAGCATGGCTGCCCGCTCTGTCACCTCTGGGGCCGGCATGCAGCTGTCCTCGTGGCGCATCTTCTGGGCCTGTTCCAGGGCTGCTGGCTCCTCTTCCTCATCTTCCACGATGGTCAGGTCCACATTGCTGTCCATCCCTGAGCTGCTCCTTCGCGGGCCCACCTTCTCCCCCTCCCCCTCCCCCTCGGCCAGGGCACTGGGCAGCGATGCTGCGGAATGACCCTCTTCCAAGGAGCCCTCCTCCTGGTCATTGGACGCCATCTCTTCTGACTTGGTCTCATTCTCCACCGGGCTCTCCCCCTCTCGCACTTTCTTTCGCCCAAAAGCGAGGGGAGAAACCTTGAAGGGAGAACTCTTCCCCCCAGAGGATGTCTTCTGGTGATTGGAAGTGAGAGATTTCTTAATCTTCTCTCTCCTTTCTACAGAGACAATCTTGGTGCCCAGCTTGGTCATCTTCTTCTCGATGTTCTGGCGAGAAAATGCCTTCTTGAGGCTGTCCACTTTCCGGAGGCTGGATCTTTTCAGTTTCTCTGCCCTGCTCTCTTCTGTCTTTTCCTCGGCACTGTCCTCCTGGGCCTCCTCATCAAGGGCAGGCTCGTCCTCTGAGGAGAGGTCCACCGTGTGCAGAGTCTCCTCCAGGGACTGGTTCTCGCCCTCCAGCTCGCCCTTCCCTTCCGTGGCGCTGGAGGCCGGCTCCTTCACAAACACACTGGCAGGGATCTCATGTTCTTCCTGAAAAGATGGCCATGTAGGTTTCACGTTAATGGATGCTTCACAAATAGGCCTGAGCTGCTGTCACGTGTGTCTGTGTTCTGGGAGGTGGAAGTGGTATACAGAAGCTTGAAGCTTTGGTTTTCTAGAATGGGAAGTGTCCATTCTAAACTGGCCAAGCCATTCCCCTGCAGGCTGAACCAAGGCCAGCGCCTGCCTGTTGGGAATATCAAGAGGGCAGCTGGCCAAGGCCCTATCAGTGACAGGCAGGGGGAAGTGGACTGTGACTCAGATAGATCAGGAAGCAGCTTCGATAAAGGAGCTAAAGTAAGTTACTCTGCTGTGAACCCAGGGGCCCTCCCTTTCCTAGTCTTCCTGCAGGTCAGGGGGCTGAGATCCTGCCTCAGTCTCACTGTGAGAGAGCCTGCAGGTCAAGTTGGAAGATCAAAGATGGGGTCAGGGCAGAAACCTGAGAAATCTTTAAGGGCAGCCACCCAGACAGCCTTGGTGACATTCCTTCTCCAGCTAGTGGTCAAGTAAAGGTTTGGTCACTCTTAGCATGGATGTGGCGGCACACACTTAGCTTGCTGATGACATTCAGAGTAAGAGGAGCAAGGGCTCGCCTTCCTGGGGCTGCCCACTGTGCCTTGACGTTTAGGATATCCTCTGCGTGAGCAAACAAGGGTAGGCAGACACTAGGGTCATTTGTGGCGCAGGGAGAGGAATGATTCTAGCAGGCGCAGCAGAGGAAGCCCCATTGTTGAACAGAGGTTCTCCGGGGATGTACACTTTGACCCCTGCCTCCAGCAGAGAGTGAGGTGCTCAGGAAGCAGCCCGTCCTTTTCCCTGCACCCTGGTCTCTCGGCTCCTGCTTCTCACACAGGCAAAGATGTCCCTGGGCAGCATCTCAGGGTGCACAGCCCGAGAACTTGCCTCTAGACTGCAAAAGGGGTGGCCCTGCAGCAAGGCCTGCTGGGGAGGTCTGAATCCTGACAGGCTCAGGGCCACACAACATAAGAGCCCCAGCCCACTGGCAAGGTGCCTGCACACTGTCCCCAGGGGAGGTAGCACAGGGCCGGGTGTGTGGCAGGATGCCTGAGCCTAACTGGCTGGGCAGCTTCAGCAAATAACTTAACCTCTTGGGTCTCCATTTCTTCCAGGTCTGAACTGGAGGATTTGACCTGAATTTGTAGCTTCCCCGCTGCACTCCAAGGACAGCAGGGTTCTGCACGCTTGTCAGAGGGGCTTTGTGCCACAGCACCCAGCCACCCTGCTGGAACCAGAGCCTGAAGGTGACCTGGGCTTGTGTCGGGCTGCCCAGTACACTTTCAGTTTGAAAAGTAACCAGACTTAATATACTGAGAAGTCCATGTGGGATCTAAACTTCATGCAAAGTTCATGTTAATGGTGAGAACTTCCTTTCTCATGGTGCAATTTTGATTGACGGATGAAAAGTTAATAAAACTGGGTTATTATTTTTAAAAATGTCATAAGAGTGTGATCGTATTTTTAATTTCTTGACTCAAAGTCTAAACGCACAAATTTTTGATGTGATAAAGAAGCTTTTAAAATCCTGCTGTTTACCCACTAATGCCACGGCTATGGAGCTCTGAAGGAGAACAGCCTTTGTCTTCCATACCCATACAGAATCCTTTCCAGGAACTGGTTAAGAGAAAATCTCGAGCAGAGGTAAAAAACAGAAGGTCGGGCCAAGTGAATCCTTACTGGGGTGAAATTATTACATATTCTGTTTCCTGAAGTTTCTGCACAGCCTCCCATTCTGAATGTCACGGAAAGGGCTGGGAACACGGTACAAGGACAGAGCAGAACAGTGAAGGAGCGCAGGTCACCAGGGTCATTTGGGAGTGGGGCTTGGCAGAGGACAGCTTTCTCCCGCTTTGGGCTGAGGTTGCCGCTGTCTCACTAGGACGGAAGCCCTGGGAGGGTGGAAGCTGCTGTCTGTTCTGGAATGAGTCTTATCACTATGCAGTGAGTGCTTGCTGGGCAGGGCAGGTGCCTAAGACGCCCCGGGGCTGGCAGGAAGGGAGCCTGCTCCTCGCCGAGAAGGCTTGAGTGCTGCCAAAGAACGGGCTATGCTCTGTATGTGGAAAGAAGTTTGCTGAATGCCGGTGTCCCTGGGAAATTGGGAGAACTCAAGGCCCAAGAGGGCAGTGACTTCTAGAGGGTGAATTTAATTCTCTGCAGATGAATATCCTGGCAGAGGGCGGACTTTGGAACTAGCTGGACTCTGACGCTTGGTCCAGAGCAACCTTCTTCTGGGGCTTCCCAAGGGGGTCAGGAAGATTTGGCAGATGTTGCACGCAGGAAAAGAAGAAACCAGAAGTTCAGTGAAATGTTACTAAGAGGCCTCAGCGAAGAAGCAGAAATCCAGGCAGAAAACTGTAAAAATAGGATGTGGCTACTGGAGAAGAGGTATGTTTTGTAAAGTGTGGCTCTCAGGGTAATTAGAAGTAAAAATTCAATAATTTCCCTTTCTTCAACCCTCACAAATGGTAGGTTCTCTTAATTGTGCTTCTAGAAGGATTAAGCTGAGGCTATTTCTCTCAACATGAATTTTATTATCACCAAAGTGGAGTTGCCCTTGAGTCTTAGGACACTTTTGTCTCTCCTATCACTGATCCCGGGAGGACAGTGATCAGAGGAGACCTGTGGGAGGCACGGCTGCAGGTGAGGACTGGGAGATGCTGAAGGAAGCGGGGAGACCCAGGAGAGTGCTCTTGTAAAATACCAGGGAAATTTACAGGAGAGTCCTGGATGCCAACCATGGAAATGAACCGAACGGGCACAGAGATAATCCAGAACGGGCTGGATGTATCTTTGTGCAACTGGAAACGCAGAGGATCTGTCTTCTTGGCTAACTGCTGTGCTTCTGCTGTCATTGTAATTACCCAAGCAGTATTTTATGCCCTGTCTACTGGACAGTGTTGATTTTATGGCTTCTTATGGCATCCACTTTGAAGGCGAGCCTTTTCTTTTCACAGGGGAATGTGTGACTGTCTAAGCACATGGAGGTTTTACCTTTCCATAGGGTTTGTTCAGAAACAGAAAAATACAGATGTTGTTCAAGATCTGTTTTCTTTCACAAGACTTGTGCACGGTGTTTGAGTACGAAGACATATTACAGTGGACGAAATTAACATTGAACCTCAGATAATGGACCCTCTGGACCTAACCTCTCGTTAAGGTGCCAAGTCTCCCCTGCATGCCTACCTTCGTGTGACGCCCTCTCTGTGTGTTTCTCTCACACACATACACACACACACCTTGATATTTTACACCTATGAGGGAGGTGACACTTCTGCTTTCAGCACCCTGTTGTCATGCCCTTGATCTGCTCATCTCACAGATTTCAAGACTGGCAGCTCTCTCAAAGGGACGGGTCAAGCATACATCCCCACCTCTGCCACTGCTCACCCTGCACTTTGCCCATTTGTCTGCTTAGGGTCTGTGGCTCCTTAAAATGTCACTAGGAGTCCCTGTGGGCTGAACCGTTTCCTTGGGAGGTTGTCTTTGTTTTCAAAATCCCTCAGCCTCCACTGATACAGTTGTTCTTCGTTCTGACCTTTCACAAGGAGCCTCGGGAGGTTTTCAAAGGAGGAAAGAAGTAAACACTGCACTCTAAACATATATGATGGATACACTTGCAGCATAAAGGAGAGAAGGCGTGAAAAGAACTCTGGAGACGTAGCTTTTTCCCCAGCATCTCAGCTTGTTTGCTATTTATATTGATTCTTGTGAACTCATAGTCCCAGGCGTGCGTGAAATAGCAGTGCAAGCAAACTTGCCACTGTGCCGGGCACTTCTTATGGACGCAAATCTCTGCACAAATATAGCCATGCATGGTTTTGTTTTTTTTTTAAAAAGACTCCATGACTAGTGTTAGGAAAGGAAATCAACTTTAAGTCACTTATGTGCTTAAATAAGGAGAGAGAAGCCGGCAGTTTGTTTTCCTGCCACTAACTTATCTTTCTTGTTGTTAGACAAAAATATCAAAGGACGTCATGTTACTGCAGGGATGAGGGGGGCATCTTGGAGGGATATGAAGACCATAAATTTGTACCATAGGATATTTTATGCCACAACCTCTAAGTACTGGTTACTGAAATGGAACCATGCCCACCCGACATTCTGATTTATAGGTCTCTTTTACACGGTGATGGCTTTCCCCAGCTTGTGTTTCGGAGGTATAGATTGCCAAGTGGATAAGGCCATTGATTCGCCCTGCACCCCCAGGGCAGCTGTGGAATCAGCAAGTCATAAGAATAAAATGCATTAGTTATAATCCCTGAGCAGTCTTTCACATTCTGGAGGATTTAAAAGTTTCATTACTTTTCAGTGTTATCAAGGGTTCAATTTTTTTTCTTTTAAGATCACACTGGTTAGGTGTTCTTTGTTACACATAGAAAACACAAAACAAAACAAAAACCAAATCACATTGAATTATTTAACACGCGATATAGAAAACCCAGGGAACGTGAACTTTACCACAGTAGGATAATAGTGTTTGTTTTCACTCACTTCACAATTCCATTCTGTAATTTCTATTATTAATAAAATGGAATCTCGCTGGCACTTGGTTTCTCAGGGCCTCTGCTTCTTCAGTAAAAAAGGAAGTTAAATGAAATGATTATTAAGGTGCTTTCTACCTCTAAAATATTTGATGGTGTGATAGTAACCTAAACTCTACAAAAAAAGAGAATTAACAAATTGCAGCCATTCTATAATATACTTACATTAAATGCATTTTCTTTCACGCTAGAATCAAAACTATAGGACCTGAGTTGGTCTGGAGAACATTTTTCACTCATTCAATTCAGAGATGACAAAATAATGGAAGGGGAAACACTGGCTTGGAAAGGCTTCACCTGACAAAGGATGTAGGTTTTTTTTTTAATATATGAAAAAATATAAAGTTTTTTTTCAAAGAAATATCAACAATAATCAGTTATTTGCTTAAAGCACCTGGGGCAGTGCTGACGTTCAATAAGTGTAAGTAGTAACGATAAGAGTGAGTATTTTCTTTACTTCATAAACTGAAATGAGATTGGGCAAGTAACACATCAAGATGGCCATCCCATCATGGCAGTGTTAATCCATGTAATACGCACAAGACCAGTTGGCATATGAAGACATGTATGATCATTTACATCTCCATGTTTTTCAAGCCTGTACAGTCTCACAGTTTTCAAAGTAGTGGCTTTGAAAAAAAAGGTACAGTCTTTTAAAAATCAATTTTAAAGTAGTCCAAAGAGATTACACTTTTAGCACTCCGCTGAAATTCTGATTTCATCGAAGGAACAAAATGGTGAATATTTGAGCACATTTATGGGCCCAATTCCCCAGGATGTATCCACTGCAAATATCTAACCTTTCCACTTTTTTGCCCAATTTCACAATTTTTATGTGGAGGAAAGAACGTGTAAGCGGTCCATGAGGACTCTCACGTTAGTCTCTGGATCAGAAATGATTCCCAAATTGCTTTTACAAATAATTATTACCAGAACTTAAAAGGACATCAGTGGACATCACGCCTTCTGGGTCAGTTCCTGGGGAAAAGTCAGAGCTCTTCAACTACCACAGAAAATCTACCCTTGGCTGTAACTTCCCTGATGTTCTCTATAAATTCCATTTTAAGTAAAAGACAGCCATGCTCGCAGGCAGAGGGTTAGGGCTCCTCTTTCTTTAGCATTTGCTTTTTGATAAGCAATGCCTATGAGTCTCACTTCATTTAGGCTGGGTCATGTGACAGGATTTTGAATTCAGAAATTGATCTGAAGCTCTTATGAAAAAAATTAAAACAGAAAGAAGGTGAGTTTAATTAGGACTCAAAAACTTTATTTACTTGTTGAAAGGGAGAGGAACGTTCCCCCAGTTTTAGATGTTACTGGTTATAATTTGAGGTAATAGCTGAGGAACTAGATGCTTCATGGCTACAACAATGTTGTTAAGTTCAGCACAGTTTTCAATAAATAAATAAATGATGTTTCAAGTAGGCCAAATTAAGAGCAAATTAAAAACTGCATTTTGAAATAAAAAAATGCAAATATGTAACTATCTAGCCAACCAGTCAGCTAAGAAATCAACACACATGTGCACATGCATGCTTACACACACACACACACACACACACACACACACACGCCCTGTAGATTGCAGAGAACAGGACAGGACTCACAAAATGGAAATGTAATTTTCTCAGTGCTATGGTGTTACATACACCCAAAAATAGGAGACAGCTTTTCTTTTTTCTCTTATTTTCAGGTACTTTTCTTGTCTTAAAATAGAAAATCAATGGATTTTAGTAAGGGGAATGCCAGCACAGATTTCAAGTGCACAGAAGCGACTACTTGAAGGGGCAAAGGCGTTCCTGGTAGACTATCTGCCTTCCCCCTGCAGGTCTCGAACAGTGGCATTCTCTCACACTGTGAAGATTATGCTGCTTCAGGAAGGGTCCTTTGGGCCGAGTTCTTTCCTCTCATGGAGATGTGACATAATGCTAATTTCGACATGATAGTACACATATGACACATGGCAGTGATGCTGGTGTTGGCAGTGGTGGTCTGTTTTAACAAGTCCCCACTAAAGAGGTGTAAAAAGCATAGCTGGTTTAAGATCCTGAGAAGGGTGGGGTCAGTTTTGACACAAGATCCATACAGTGGTACCTCGGTTCACAAATTTGATTCTTTCTACTAATCAAATCAAATTTAATGGTTAGGTTCAATGTTGACTATGGGGAAATTTGGGGAATTATGGGGAAATTTGGGGAATTATGGGGAAATTTGATTCCGTTCTTGTCCAATTTGGTTTGTAGCCAGAATTGTGGAAAGAATTAAGGGTGTCAACTGAGCCACTACTATATTTCTATCCAAGTAAAAATGTAGCCTCCTGTCTGAGCAAATTGTTTCAGATCCAGCATTTGTTCCTTGGACACTCGTCCCATGCTAGTCTGTGCTATTTCAAATGTTATGTCTTTTGCTCCTTACCCAGTATGAGAGAGATGACAGGAAGTATCAGTGTTTAAGAGCAATTGTTCAGAGACCAATTAAACATGAATGTGGATCCTAGCTTCCCCCCTTGATTATTAGATCAGCTTAGGCAGGCAAGTTATAAACATCTCTGAATTTCATCATCCCCATCTATAAACTGGGGATATAGGAGTCAGTGTTCAGAAAGATGCTTAGCAGTGTATGTAACGCTTCAGTGCACAATGTTTTGTGCTCTGATGAATATTTTCAGTGTATGGCCGAGGAAACAGATTGAGCAAGCTACAAAATATGTCCAAGGGCATACAGCTGGCAAGTGATGAACCTAGGATTTGAACCAATATCTGTGTGACTCCAACATTTATCTCTACAACCACTGTATTGTACGGATCACAAGCTAACAGAACTTACTGCTTCATGCGTGGGCATAATTGCTACCCTACTGTGACAAAGAGCAAGAGAAACAGCAACCTTTCCGCTGAGGACTCGCTTGCATTTGTTTTTCTAAGCAATGATCAAGCAAATCCTTGAGAGCTGAGATTTCCCATATCCTTTATCAAATGAAGGATCTTCTGTGACTCAAGAGTGACCCAAGTCCTTGCTTCTAGTTCCCTGCTTCCCAGTATGCTTTTACAAGCATCCCGGAGGCTGACACTGAGGGCCTCGCACGGAGACTGAGCACCTTGCTTGGGATTCTCTTAGCTTCCCTTGACTTGAGCATCAGTTTAGCTTTCTCTCACTACGCGGAGAATTCCCACCCTCTCTGGCTGCAATTTCACACCTGTCAGCCAGTGTGAGGAAACAGGTGACCACATCAGGCCCTCAGCAACAGCACCTGCCTTCAGTTCCCCAACAGCTGGTTTTTTTTAAATGTCAGATTCACAGTTCTCTTGAGCTCGTGTCACACATCTTCCTTGTCCCGCCCACAACATCTGAAGAACATCCGTGGCGAAACAAAACGAAACCCAGCCCTGACAAACTGTGATTTTCCTTGACTAGATAAATGCATTTTTCTCTCTTCTTAACTGCAGGATGAGCAAGGGAGATTATCTCCCCGATTCATACTGCAAGGAGGGAAACTTCCTTTGGCGACTCAGATGTAAACAGGGCTGTGCATGTTTGGCTTTGTTGGGAGATCATTGTTTAATTGAGGAACGGCTTCAGAGCTGAGATTTCTAATATCTTTTAGGCTAAGAGCGTAAGGATCTCATATGGCTTCCCACGTCTGTTTCCCGTGAACCTGGTGCATGAAAACCTACTGCCTGTGCACTGAAGGCTGAAAGAGTTCCTGGCTGCCCAAGCTTGCAGTACAGGAGAACACTGGCTGCCCGAACCTTGCTAACACCCCAGAGCAAGGAGGGGGGACATACAGCGGCGCGCTGAGCCTTTCCTTTTATGGGGATAGGAAGGCTCTGCTTCCAACTTGGCAGAGTGGATTCGTTTAGGAAAAGAAGGCTCCTTTGATTTAAATCCCAATCTCCGAGTCTCTCTTGGGAGATGAAGGCTTACCCTGTGTGCCTTTCACAATCAAACATTTCGTTATAGCCTCTCCCCTCCATGGCTTTGAAACCAGCCCCTATTCATGCGGTCCCGAGGAGACAGCCCTGCGGCAGGACGGCAGTCCTTCCTGGGCCCTGTGCTGGCTGGGTTCCTCCCGGCGGAAGGGCTTCCAGCATCAGCAGGGCTGCCCTTGGAATCACAAATGCCCACCCCGTGGCAGAACAACAGCCCCACGCAGTCTCCCTGTCCCCAAATAGCCTCTTGCTACATTAATTGCATCATTGATGCATTAAAAAAATTAAGTGGCCTTTTTATTTTGAGGCAACCTTTTGAAGGGGAAAATATTCAAGACCAGCCTTTGTGACCGTAACTGATAACACCTCTTCGATTTTCCTTTACAGTGCGGTCTCCCTGCAGGATGAGAGGCGTATCTAGTATATTTGTGAAGAGTGATGCTTTGCATTTTGAGTGCATCATTTGCTAGAGAAGAACTCAGGAAGACTGCTTTGCCCAGAAGAGTCTTAAAAGTACAGGGCTAATTCAACTCTAATGGAATCAATCCTCCATTTGGCGGGTCCCCAAACATCGGTGGCCTTTTGCAAAAGGCGTAGTTGAAACAGTTATGAGTCTGATTTTTTTGGTTAAGACCAAACAAAAAACTCCTATGATTATCTCAATTCCACAGAGTTAATAAAACGCCACTGAATTCATTTGCTACCCCCTCCAGCTAATAGTGTCAGCCAGAACCCCGAGACCCTGATGCAAAGAGACAGTGCATGTTACCGGGGTGGGAGCCCGCACCTGCAGGTCGTCCCACCTAAACAGTGCACACAGGCGCTCCCTGGGAAGGACCCGGGTCTGCTAACTCCACGGGCATTTGCCTTGGTGTAGCCTGCCGTGGCTGGGAAATTCCCACAGCTGTGTGTGGATTTCACACTGGCCCGCTGCAGGCAGACAGGGGACAACGCCCAGTGCGTGCAGCCCAGCGGCAGACAGGGCAGATGTGAAGCGGGCGCGAGAGCATGCATGTGGGCAGGGACTGGGACACCGACCTGGAAGATGAGCACTTTGAAGTGGCTGCGCCGCAGGAGCTGGGCGTGGTTGCTCTCCAGCCGCCTCACCTGCGCGCTCTGCCTGTCCATGCGCTCGCGGACCGCGCGCGTGTGCGCGCTCACCTTGCGCGACTTCTCCAGCAGCTTGCCCACCGTGCTGCTGGTGGAGGCCTGGTACTTGGAGAGCTTGGTGAGGTCGTTCTGGATGCCCTTCACCGAGCCCTCCAGGCCGATCTGCCGCTGCTCCATCTTGTGCTGGTTCTCCTGCACGGTGTCCAGCATGGTCACCAGCTTGTCCAGCAGCGTGTGCACCGTGACGGCGTTCACCTGCGAGTTGTCCCGAATGGCCTCGTCCGTACACCCCAGGTTCAGGCTGGGGCTCGGCGTGGAGGAGGGCATGGGGCTGGGGCTCGAGGGCTTCTCTGGGCGTAGGTCGGAGCTCGGGTGCTGGAACCTTTCGGCCTGGGCAGCGTCCTCTCCCATGGCTGGACCGGCTGGACAGGTGGGCACGGCTTTCCTCCCTGGGAGCTGATCGTGCTGGGGACGCAGGGGCAGAGCGCAGGGTGCAGAAGAAGGCTTGCAGGTTTAGCCCTGAGCGCGGCTCCCCAGGACTGGCAGGGGTTCAGACAGGCAACAACTGGCTAAGCTGATCGGGGGAGCTGCATTCCAACTGCTGTTAAAGGCCCTGCTCCACCCAGTGGGAGGCGAAGGTCACGGGGCCGAGAACCACTCAGCGTTCACAGGCTTGCACACACTTCCTCACCGTCTCCGCTGCACCGAGCGCCCGGCTGCAGGGTTACCAGCCTTTCCGACTCCCCTTCCCTTTTTAAAATAAGTCCAATGCCATATTTCAATCGTGACTTCATCCAGGGGCGGAGGAAAACATGCTAACTTGGCCCAGCTCCACCGGCTGCGATTGGCTAAAGCCAGTAAACTTTTCTCTGGCTGCTACTCTTGCTTGAGAGCCTGTTTTTTTTTTTTTTTTTTTTTGTTTTTTCCTGGATACAAGTTATGGAAACGGAAAGTATTGTTTGCATTTGCCCCAGAACTGACTGATAGGTTGCAGAACACCCCGGTCCCTCCTGGGAGGGGTAGAGTTCAAGGGTGGTGTGCAGCCCTGTTTGTGGTGTTCGTTTTGCAAAGGAATGGAAGTAACTCTGATAGTGAGGGAAGCGGCCCGCTCTTTGTTACCCTGTTACCCATGGAACAGGGAGTGCGGAGTACATGGAAAGAGAGTGAACTCCAGGGATGTTAGGCAGGGAATGTTACGGACCGTTCCCATGGAAAAGATGGAACAGTTTTTATAAGTGATATTTTTAATTTTTTACAAATTAATTTTATTGGTGCACTTTAGATATACATGGTGATCACCTTCACCCTAAGGACTTTGGACCTGTACAGAATACATCTTGATGTTTCCGTTTTCCCCAATCCCTTCCCTCCCTTCAACTTCTCCTGCCCTTCGTATCTACAAAAGCTTTGTTTCCAGTTTTTCCTTTCTATCCTTTCTGTTGTTGTTTCCCTTCCTGTGTTGCTCACTGCCTTGCCCTATTTCCCTTCCCAACTGAACATTTAAAGGTGGAACTTTTCTGAATGACCACTTATTTGAACTATGGGCTTTTCTTGTTTGTTTGTTTTTTGGTTTGTTTTCATGAGATGTCAGACTGACAAGGCACACCCTGTCTTCTATCCACGTTGACTTAAGACACTACCATCCTTACCATGCTGGTTTGTTTTAACTGATTTTGAATCCATGCTGAGAGAGTTTTCTCAGATGTCTCTTTCTTCCTGGTGCTCACTGACACATGCCCAGAAGTGGGACTGACTGCCTGGCAGGTGAGTGCTTCCCAGGTTTGACATTTCCAAAGTTCTGCTCGCTGAAGTGGCACACCTGGTCTCAAAAGTACTTCCTACAAAACCCCTTAGGATGTGGGGCTTATTTCTGAAAACAACTTTCCATGCTTGGGTCGGTTTTAAATGTATCCGGCCATCCAACATACTTTCACCAGGAAGTTTGCAACAGGCCTTCTATGAACAACTTCCAGCTCATATTGGATCAAAGATTGATAATAGGACAGTGTCATTCTTCAGTATCTCCGTGTAAGCTCATCAATCAATGGGTCCTTTGTTGTCACATTTATTGAATTCCTACCCTCTGCTGTATGCAGGATCCAGAGGATTCTCACAAAGCCTGAGCCCAGACTGCTCTCAGGGAGTATCTCTGCTAGTTAGGAAGATGAATTAAAGACATTTACAGAGGCCCCCAATTTCCTCAGGTGACAGGCATCCCCAAAGCCAGTTAAAGTGAATTCTTTAAAAATAGGAACCAAAAATACATGAAAAGATTGGTTGAGATTTTATCTTTTTTTTAAAAAAAGTAAAAGAATTATTAAAATTAATTTGCCTTACGTTTAACAAAATTTAGTTGGTCAGTGATGTGTTAAAAATTAGAACAAAAGATGAATCAAGTGTTGATTTTGAGGAGTATAATTTTCTAACAAAATTGCACAGTAGCATGATATCATGTCCTTTTATATTTGATTTCTATGGGCAAACCATAGACAGTGTCATTATTTCAAAAATATTTGAGGGCTTCATCAATTTTCCAAGAGCCTCTCTTAAATTTTGACATTCAAATCTTTCCCCTTAGAAGCACTTATTGTGTCATCCTCCATGTGGATTTGTTCTTCAAAATGTTAACTATTCCAGCTGCAGAGTCCCATTTGTTGGAGGAATTGTCTGTGATTCAAGGGTTTCTCCAACATTACCTTCATCAGTGTTACGATTTCCCACATACATTGCAAGATGTGCGATTCCACATTATAATCACTTGCCCTGATTTTGCATTGATTTGCACTGATTTTGCATTGCATTGTTGGATACTGTATCATCAGCTAGCTGATTACAGACATTAGAGACATTAGACATTGGAGACATGGGGTGTGAGGTGGAGAAAGGAGAAATGCTCGCTAAGCAAGAAGAAAGGCTTGTTTATGACTTTATTTTTTTTAAACTAGTTTTGAGTAGCACAAATAATATATCAGTAATCAATTGCTGTATAACAAATATCCTGCAGCTCAGTGTCTTAAGGAACAATAGTTTTCTTTACTCGTGATTCTGGTGTGTCAGGGCTTAGCTGGTTGAGTCATCTCCACCGAGCAGGTTCATTCAGCTGTCGTTTGGAATGGGGAATAACATGGCCTCATCCAGGTCTGGTTCCTCACCTGGACTAGCTCCTCCATCTTTTACCCTCTGTAAGCTCTCCACCTGATCTTTCTAGTAGGGAAATCAGACTTTATATGGTGCCTCAGGATTCCAAGGGAATAGAAGCAGGAGCTGTGAAGACTAGATGCTGGAAGTCTTTGGTTGTTCCTCCCACCACATTTGGTGGTCCAAGGAGGTCACACACTGGTCAAGCTCAGATTTAAGGGGATGGGGAATAGACCCCGTGAATTTAGGAGAAGAGCAGCAACATCAAAGCAGCACGGGAGAGACTGTTATAGCCACTTTGGTACGTAATCTACCATGATGTAAATACGTTCTTCTTTCAAAGAGGGATTACAGATGAAGCTAAGGTCCTTTTGATTGTCACTTCCATTCCATTCCCTGTCCCCTCTCATCAGAGGTAATCATTTTTGTGGATTTAGAGTATGTCCTTTGGAAACTGTATGTAGAAGCGATCGACTCATTAGTGGGCATTTTGGTATTGTGCTGCAGCTTGCTTTGTTGAACAACCTTATAATCACGGGAACTGCGAGACTCTATCCCCTCCCGGGCTGTAGAAGAATGTAACGAAGAGGAGACTGTGATGCAAACTCTAAGGGCAGCAAGCTTGAATTCTTTAGCTGGCCCCCAGCTGCCTATGACTGCTTCAAGTATTAAATCCTACTGGCAGAGGTCACTTCAGGAAAACATCTACTTTATTACTGGCTCGGGCTTTGGTCCAAAGGCTTATGTGGTTTCTCATTGTGAACCACAGAGGTCTTCCTTAGCTCTTTACCATAATGCTTAAACCAGAGGCAGCTCAGGGTCCCACAAGTCATCCTGGCCCTACTACCATGACAGTGATAGGAATCCTGGAATGATGAACCTGCAGAAAAGAAAGTCCTTGTTCCCAGCAACTAAAGAAGTAGAGAAAGCCGAGGGAGCCACTCCACACATCTTTCCCTCTGAGCTGCTGTACTGGAGTTCAAGAGTCTTTTGAAGACTGGGGTAAGAAGCACTCCTAGGTTTGTGTGAATATATTAACCACATCAGCAGAAAGCAAAACAACAGAATGACACATCCACTTGTGTATGAAGGGCTTTCTGACCAGGCCCAGAGAACCCACTGAACCGTACACCCACTGCACCCTGCAGTGGGTGCAGATGAAGGTGGTGGTGCAGAAAGCCCCAAGTTGCTGTCTTTTCCATATCCTCTGCTGAGACGATGCGGAAGAATAGTGCTCATTTTCCCAAGAAATGTTAGTGAAGAAAATCACATGACTCTAGGAGTCTAACCTCTTCCAGCCCTGGTCCCTGTCATAATTTATTGCTGATGCCAGAGGAGCAGTGTACGAAGAAGTTCTATGCAGATGAGGGACAAAGCATCCATCAGTCATAGAACATTCACATGTAAAGCAAATTCTCCTCACTCCCCACATGCTGTGACCTAGAGAACTCTAGGAACTTTGGAAGTTTTAGAAAGACTTGCATTTGCAAAGCCTCTGGTTCTTGGGTGTTGGACTCCTCATCTGCCATTTGTATCCTTCTCTGTGTCTGCCCAGTTGGGAACCCCAGCACCTTTTCTAGGCATCACACAAGCCCGTACTCAAGTATTCATCATAGAGGAGATGTTCATGCAATAATGGGGTCACACTCGGGGTGATTTCTGATCTTTTGAAGGTTCTTGTCTTCCAAGTTTCCTGCTTTTTGTTTTCTCCTTACCTCTACTCTCTCATTCATGAAGCAACATTTTGCTCAAATATTAGGTGTTGGGTTCTATCCTGTACCCCAAGAAAATATGTTGGCATCATGAAAGATAGCTTCTTCCCTTCCTAAGATGAATTCTGGTGCTAGTTCAGGTAACCAAACCCTTTTATACCTCGGATCCCATCCCCAATACCATAGGTAGGGAAACAAGTTTGAACATTGCTCATTGTTCAATCATTCAATCAACAAACATTGAGTATTAGGTGCCAGGAATGTAGCAGTAAGCAAGAGACAGTCTCTGTTTTTATGAACTGTGGAATGGGCACAGATAATGGATAAAAATAAAGTGTAATGACAAACAGGGATAAGTACTAGGAAGAAAAACAAAGTACAGTGAGGGCCAAAGAGTGACCAGCATGCTGTCGTAGACTGGGTGGTCCAGGAAGTCCTCTTTGGGCAGGGCCTTTGAAGCAGGCATGTAGTAGGAGTCCAGAGGAGAGAAAAGGACCCCTATAGTAATGTGTTTTCAACACAGTGATCAAGTTTTTCCTGAGTGTGTGTACACTCGGCTAAAGACTACACTTCCCAGCCTCCCTCTGAGATGTGCACTTGTTACTGAGCTCTGGTCAATGGCCAGGAGAAGTGACACGGTCCGCCTTCCAATACTTCCTTTCAAAGGATTAGATGTACACTCTGGTTGAAGCTCAGAAAAAAACACCCTAAAGTGTGGTGATTTCTTACACTTACAGGACTTGGGAACGACCTCAAAATTGGAAAAAGAAGCAACTCATGTTACATAAGGAAGATGATGTCTCTCGACACACCTGGACAGACCTTTGTCACACACCCCTGTCCCTTATTTTGATCCCATCCAGGATGATTTACATTGCATTGTCTGATCTGTGGGCAAGGACCTTTGTCCCAGACCACTATGTTATGCAAGCCCATTACGGCCCCATAAAATATCATTTACTACTCCACTAAAAATTGTCTATGTTCCCACTCTCTCCGTCTGCTGTGG